GGATGGTAATTGTTAATTGTTGAAAATGAAGCTACTTGGAGACTATTCATCCCGGGTTCTTGTTTGCACTATGGTATTTCCAAATATGCAAACTTTGCCTACTGTTCAGCTGGGTTTGGGATATTGCACTAACTTTTGACCAATATGCAGTTGAATTTGTAATAAGTTTTAGACATTATTCGGATATTTTGAAGTTTTTACGAGTGATTTTCTCAACTTTGCACCTTTCGATTCTTGTCCTTTTGCACGTTATTGTTTTCAACTTTGCTTGAAACGTTGCCTCTATCGTTTGCAACTTTGTGATTTATTTTTTCAATTTTGCACCAGATTTCGAGATAATCAATTTGCATGTGATTTTCCCAATTCAGTTGAATTTGCGATTTTGCACCTACCTTTAGGCACATTGAATGATTTTCTGAACTGTTTGTTGTATAGCACTTAACATTTGTTTGGTTTGGTGATTTCCCTACCTCTGCACCTGGTTTGGAGAAATTGACCCTATTTTTTGTACCTTTCGCCACTTTGCATGTATCTTTGCCACTTGAGGTTGAGATATTGCACCTGCCTTTTTTGTAACTTTGTAAGCGCATTTCCCAAATTTGTACCTTGGTTTTAGATGATGACCTTACCTTTGCCACATTGCATGCAAGTTTCTCCCATTTTTCAAGCTTTTGTTTTTGTTTGAAACATTACACCTGACTTGCCATTTTGAAGTAATTTTCCAACTTTTGTAGCTGACTTTGATATATTACACCCAAGAGACTGGACAGGGTAGGTTGGTGTTTTGTGGGGGTAGGTCAGTGATTTTCGTGCAAGAGTTTCAGTAATCTGTGCAGGCATAAAGGGAAGGGGTCATAATCGTTTGTGCAATGCAAGTCTTATGACATCACAGTAAAAGTAGCCGAGATTTTATGCATAGTCTGTGTTGCCTCAACAAACACCTATTCTTATTACTCATTCAGCAGTTGTTGTGAAAATTTGCAGCCGGTACTATACACAGGATCTGGAAGAAAAAAAACAAATTACTGGAACAAAAAGTTATTTGCCGACTAGCAATTCACCACTGGGGAAAATAATATTTATGTAAGAGTACTGCTGGATTAAGACACACAGATTTATTGTTACGTTAGTGTAATATTATGATATATGCATCTACAATACCAACGGCCACTGTTGATTGTAATCGATATGCAAATTACTTAATATACTGATTATTTAAATGCAATTTTAAAATGTAATTATCTTACTCCATGATTATCCAGTGCAAGTGTGAGATATTACATGACTACCGAGACGATATCCATAATATTGACCAATGCCGAAGGTAAATATTATGGATATTGTTGAGGTAGGAACGCAATATCAAACATACATGAGAGGATGTCCCTCTGTTATAGAGAAATAACACAACATAATAGAACCTTTCAAAATCTTTTGTAATGAAGCAAGTGGGCAATATCAGCACTGAGTTTTAAAATGGTATAGCCCCCCCCCCCCTCCCTCATTGATACGCAGATTTTGTGGAATTCGTCATCCTCACCTGGATGGATCTTAGTTTTATACAACCAATCAAGCCACGGACATTTTGTATTCACAATATTGAAGTTGTTTGATTGGCTACGTAATATCGGCTGAATGTGTGTATAATGCAAAATCACACATGGCCAACTTTCCCCAGTTCTCATTGACGTGCATCGTGGAGAGATGGAAGTAAATCCCACTTTCTCGGACGTTTTCAACGATGGCCTAATAGAAGCAACGCAGAATATTTGAATCAGCTCGGGTTTGATAATGTCGATATTGAACCGGGTACTGTTCCACAAGTATTTTTTTTTACTTCAGTGACTACAATTTACTGGTTTATCATATTCTTATATTAAAAAAAACAAACTTGACTTTACATGCAACTTGTTTTATTATATTGCAGGAAATCCAGAGTGGACGGTTTTGCAACCCAGTGTCGGATTCTGCTGTATGGGCCGTCGCTAAGGATTCAATAACAAAGAACACAAGGCAACGTAACATGTGGACTCTGCATACTTTTAATGAACAACACCTGACGGGAATTAACAACTGATGAAAAGGTGAAAATTTGCCTGTTGAGGACTTGGCTTATTGGTTAGGTAAATTCGTCCTAGAGGTGCGCAATGTGGATGGTAATTGTTAATTGTTGAAAATGAAGCTACTTGGAGACTATTCATCCCGGGTTCTTGTTTGCACTATGGTATTTCCAAATATGCAAACTTTGCCCTCAGAAGCGGAATGGAACATCGAGCTCTACGTTTTGACCCACCCCAAATCACTTTATACGAGTCACCAGGTGAAATGCCTTATTTGAAGTATGTGGAAGATGTGTCGAAAAGCAACCAAAGTGGTCTAAAGCATCAGAGTAAGAGGAAAGGAGGTAATGCATTATGCAAATGCTGAAAACCCCCAACAATGCTATATTAGAATGTACAAGAAGTACACATCACTCTGCCCACCCGAGGGAAAACAAAAAGCATTCTACCTGCAACCCCGGCGTAAATACGAAGAATCCGACAAGATATGGTTTACTAAGCAGCTGATGGGTAACAATTCTATTCACTTGTGGTGCCAGATTTATTCCGATCTGCTGGAATCGTTGGAAACTTTACAAACCATAGTCTGTGCTACAGCTGCAAAAAGTCTTTATGAGCATTGTGTTGATAAGCATAATGGAACAAACAGGACACCACTCAGTAGAAGGTAACCAAACTTGAACATTATTAATATATTGCTATCACTGTAAACTCACTTAACTAAAGAAAGTAGCAAAGCATGTTTCTACTGGTTGATTTTTCAAAGAATTTTAAATGAATGCATGATCACATATGAAAAACTTAATTAAATTTAAATTATCTTGACAATGTTTTTTTAATCTACAGGTGTTGGCAGTTATAAACGCACACAGGAGAAGAAAATAAGCAATATTTTGAACGGTACCGCAGCTGCAAGTAAACGTCTACCTTGATGAATTTTCCAACACGTCATTTCCTTCTATGCTATCGATAAAGAGCCATAGCTCGAAACGTCTAGCTATTTTTAATAGTTATTTAGGACTATGATTACCAAATATAATTTTCTATATTTCCTGCAGATGTTGGAATCCATAAACTAAACACCCAAGGCGCTGGAGCTAGAATTGTTTACAACAATTGCGTGTTAACTATTACAGGAAATATCTGATCAGTTATAGCAGTATAATGCATCAACATAATATTTGATTGAAAACAAATGTGCAACAAACGTTTAACCTGTTTGTGTTATTCATTCAGCTTCGCCTCAGGATGATATCACGACCGTACCAACAGAGTGTTCGAGGCATATCGGAAATGACACGAGATGAAGCGATGAATTTTCCCAGACACATTATGGCAGGTCTATAATAGCCCATGTCCTTCAAATATTGCCCGAGTTGGAGGTTGTTATTCAAAAAAACAACCTCAAAGTCCATTGTTAATTTGTGTATGAGGAATTAAAGCCGCCAGTACTAGTTAATAATATTTAATCCAGCAGTGGTGTGGATAGCATCTTTCTACACAAATCAATTGTAGGACAGATGAAGGACAGCAAGAAGGCTACCTCCGTTTGAATTGAATCAGATCACATTCTTCGAACAATATGATTGAAAATAACTTGGTGTTTTTAATAATCTTGGCAGAGTGCCATGACACTATAAGTAATCAGAATGTAGTGTTGTACCAACGCAATTTTCCAGGAATTTCCAATGGCATTCTGGTAATGCACGCAGAAGTGAATTATAGATGTTGAAGTGAAATCTGTTAGAATTGATTTCTGGGAAAAAAACGGCATGTTTTTTAAATACCAATTTTTGAAGGTAAACTGAATATGGAATGAAGTATTTACTGCATTTCACGGTTGTTGACAGGTCATTGTCAAAGACTAGTTTAGGCAGGATATTCACAGCAGTCAATATCAACGCTATATTATATAAATTTACAGGTATTCTAAAAAAGTCACACAATGCTCAAAGACCAGGTTCTATGACCAGGAAGTGAAGTTTGTAGCATTGTCAAAGGGATGGGCATTTGCTGAACGTAAATTTGAAAATAGAAATGCCCCAAATGTGGGCGAGTTGGACAAGTATGGTAGAATAACAGCAATCCTTTCCTGTATCACAAAATTTTTGAAGGTAAACTGAATATGGAATGAAGTATTTACTGCATTTCACGGTTGTTGACAGGTCATTGTCAAAGACTAGTTTAGGCAGGATATTCACAGCAGTCAATATCAACGCTATATTATATAAATTTACAGGTATTCTAAAAAAGTCACACAATGCTCAAAGACCAGGTTCTATGACCAGGAAGTGAAGTTTGTAGCATTGTCAAAGGGATGGGCATTTGCTGAACGTAAATTTGAAAATAGAAATGCCCCAAATGTGGGCGAGTTGGACAAGTATGGTAGAATAACAGCAATCCTTTCCTGTATCACAAAAGTAATCTTGCTCTTAGTTTTGTAATAATTTCAATAAAAATGAACCTTACCAGAATTTATACCAATGGTGAATACCTGCAATGCCTTAATACTGGTGTCATGCATGTTTGGTGCTACCTCTTGCCAATATAGGGCAGATATGCTAATCACATATGCAGTAAACAGTATGGGGCACGAGGCAAAGAACCTTGGACAGAAAGCTATACTAAGTTTCCTGTTCTTGCACTTACCAGTAGATGCCAAACAATTCAGCTAAAGGTGCGTCCAGGATTCATGTGAAAACCTGCATGGGATTCACTCTGAAAAGGACTTGTTAGAGACTGTACAGAGAAACACAGAGAACAAAACAGTAAAACTGAGAGGATCTTTAAGTAAAATAAACAGTAGCTCTGAAGAACTCCTCAAAGAAATGAATGGTAGCTTTGACAGGAATTTATTTAAAATATGCTTTGGGTTAAATGAACAGTTGTTCTGAGAGGAACTCATTTTATTAATCAATAACCAACAAATATAATACAAAACATTTAAAGCCAATTTGATGTTTATGGCTCAGAACATAGTGTGTAAAATTTAACAATACAAATACAAAGTGATGATAGACAGATGAATTGCTGATTTGCAAACATAAAACAAAATTATCAAGGGGAACAGTCACAGATTACCACTGTACATTAATCTTACTGTCTTTTAATTCAGAAGTCCACAATTCATAGCCCCTGCGAGTTATCAAGTTCAAGAAAAATATATAAAGTTTTAACAGCCAGCGATATAGCCTCAGAACTAAACTGAACGGCAACCAGTCAGCTATTTTGAATCGGATTTGATAAAGAAAATGCCTTGCATCAAGGTCTGACAACGTTTAATGGGCATATGAAGTTTCAACAAAATGTGTACATGCACGAACAAGAAATGCTTGATTTTGAGGGATCATATCATTAAAATTAGCTAACATTCAGCCAACTTGCCAACAAATTGTCAAATGTGCATACGTACAACCTGATGTATGATGCATATATTGTTTGAACATGATCTGTTCGGGTATGTTAGAGATACAGCTCTAAAACTAAATTTGTAAATACCTAATACGATAAAGAATGAAGTCTATAATTAATTAGAATTTGAAATAGATTGCTTAAGAATGTCAACACACAAGTCCATTGATAAGAACACTCACTTTCATGCCTCAGTTTTCACACAAAATTGATACATGGTTTAGAATATGAACAACCCGGGTAATTGTGTTCACAAACAACATTTTTCACAAAAGCTAAGCTGGATTGTATTAACTGGTGACATTTGTGATTGTTATGGAGACTACAATTCATGTTTATCATCTGAGAGGGAGGTAATAACAACATTCCCAGCTCAATATGGGTGTTTGTGACCTTGTGCAAGAAGAACATTTGCCCTATTTACCGTAGGTAAATGGCCATTACTTCTATTGGACGACTTCTTCAGGCTTGCTAAATGTGGAATACAGAAGATCTGACACAAGTAGAATACTGTAAAATACTTTATTTTCGCTATTTTCACTGAAGCAATGATTCAGTAAAAATAAAATCCAGCGAATATACGTTTTTCCCTCTATTTACATTCAACTAGTCAGAATTCAGCAAAAATTAATTCCAGCTAAAATAAAGTATTTTACAATAATACCAAACACTAATGTACAAAGTACATTTCTGAAAGTTTATGAAAGTTCAGATAAAGTAGATGTGATGCATCATACTAGTTTTTATTTATTTGAGCAAACATTATTTTTTTTTAATTTTAAGCGATCACAGAATTAACAATTACTGTATTGAATCAAGGTTTATCAAACAGAGAAAAACTAAACATTCTTATCAATTTGTTTTCTTCAGTAATTTTTCAGGAAGTTAAGCACTCAAATAGCAAATAATAAAATATAAATTACTGGTACTGCACAAAACAATTTGAAATAGCCACATGCTATTTTAGCTAATTTGGCAACTAGAATTTGAATTTGGAACCTAAAATGCCAACAATTCATTTTAAGAATAGATGACTTGCAAAATTAGTTGAAATACTGAGCTTAACAACATAACACTGCCAAAAGAACTCCAAAATACAGGAACACAAATTTACAATTTTGTTTCTAGATATTACATTTTTCATCAGTATATGTAGTATATGTTAAATACAACATGATAAAATCATTTCATCTATAACTTTTAAAAAACTTCCAATTGAAACTTTATAACATTGTAGAATACACTAACATTACAACTAATTTGCAACAGTATTTTTCAAGCTATGGATGAAATCATTTGCTTAATTTTTAACAGTTATGTCATATTTTACCCATAATTTATTGATGGAAAATCATAATAGCGACAATGTATAAAAATTAAAAAGTTGAAGATTAAATAACAAGAAGTGATATAGAATGGATGTAAATTGCATTTCTCTGCATTTGTGGAGTTCTTTCATCAAACCTATACTTTAATAGCCATGTTTCATAGCATTGTGATGACTGATTTACAATTTGCAGGTATTATATATACATTACATCAGATAAAGGTTTTTTTTCCAATAGCCAGTGAAA